CACAGGCTTTTCTGAAAGATGAACTCTTTTGTGACGCTGTGGCTTCCAGTGCCTGTAAAGCTCCACAGGGCAGAATACTCATTTACCATCTGGAAAAGCCCCTGCTTAGGGCTTTTGCATTTCTGCACCAGGGTGAGCAGCAGGGCTGCAGCAGTTTCAAGTCACAGTCTGTATCAGTACAATATCAGCTAAACGTGGCGATTAACCTAGATGGGCAGTTAAGTTTCAAAACCCAGTTATGAATGCATTCTTTTTCATTCTTTACTCTTGAATACCTGTCCAGCTGATGTCAGCCTAACAAAACTCTGCCTACAAGGTAAGAAAAGAAACAGGAAAAACCACATCACATGCCTGCCCCCACATTTTCATCCCAGTGCCCATCAGGCAGCAGCCATTTGGTCCCAGTGGACTCAAGCAGCAAGGTAAGTTGTTATGGAAAGTAAGCTTGTGTAGGAGGGAGAAAGCCTATTAATGGGAAATGAGGCCAGTTAACGAGATGAAGTTATTTGGGGATTTCTGAGCCAGTCACAGAATGCCTCCCTCCCTGATGTACTTACCTTCATTCTCATCTTTGCTTGTGACCTTTACAAGGTGCTATAGTAAGCAGTTTCGTAAACCAAACAGGATCTGGATTCTGAGGTGCACCCATCACTGAACCAGCAAGACTGTGAAAATGGATGGTTAGGCCTACAGCCACGTTTCATGGCAAGGATGGAAAGAAAGTGTCAGTGACAGCTTGACCCAGCAGCTGAATCCATATGCTGCTCTTTTTAAGTCACGTACAGATTTGGAGCATGCTGCAGATACAGAGCACAAGAACACTCTTCACTGCATTGATTGGCTTTACCAGTGCATCCAACATCATTTTCTAAAGATCTCTGTTTGGCTGTTTTCCAAAGAATGCTGTCTGTTCCTTGCAATGTAAGAGTCAGCATCTGTCCAAATCCTAATTTCTCTTTAGCAGCTGCGACAGCTTAACTAAAGGGTATGTGTTACTATCTTGGGCATAATTGCTTTCAAGATTCAAGCACAGCCTTCCTCTCCCAATTTCTTTGCACCGTTTCACCTCTGCTCACTCAGTTACTGCCTAATCCACAGCTCCTTGTTAAAAAAAGAAACACTCCATCTATTAAGAAGGACAGTATGTAGATTTAACCAAACAAGCGCGCCGAGAGAGTATCAAACCCACACAGCCTGGCTGGCTCTGTAAGATCATTATGAGAACATGGAATTTGTCGCCATAAGAAAAGTAGCATTTCACTGCTGACAGTACGTGTCAGCAGCAGGTGCCTTTCCACTGGTGTTGAACAGGATGTCTTTGCCTTGAAAGCAAAGGCAAAAACAGCTTTCTGAGCTGCTTCAGCTCACTTTGAGCAGATTCTGCCTCAATTTCCAAAATAAATCAGCTTGTCAGTCTATGTTTCCAACCACATGAATTTCTCTACTGATCTAACTTCACCTGTTATTGATACAATTTCTTTGCAAGTTGTTTATCAAATTACAAGGAGCTCTAACCAGATCCAATCTTATCAAACAGAAAACCTGTTGCAGTTCTAAGTATCTTGTTCTCATTGAAATAGTGCACAAAGCACTGTTAGTATTATTTAAACCCACAGAAATAAAGTACTCCTCCTCTTCAGGTTCAAAATAAAATGCTGATACAGTGTTTTGTGCTGATTGTGAAGATAAGCTTTGCAGAGCCATTCTACTTCAACATATTTCAGCTACCCTAACCACAGCTTTTACAGAAGCATACGGACTCTCTAAACACACACCTGCCTGCAGGTTTGTTTGTTGTTGTTCTGTTGTTTTAAACAGCGTGCCTATGAAGCGACTGAACTAGCACACCCTAGGCCAGCTGCCTTGTCTTAGAATTCTTAGTCATTCCTAAGGTAGGATGGAAAGGCTGTTTTCAGGTCTAGTAGATGATAGTTCATCAGCCCTTAATCTGCCCCAGTAACTAGGTGCCAATACAGTATCCTCGACAAAAAGCACTCATCTGCCTGAAGACTGAAACAAGTTCTTTTTGCAGCTATAATCTCCAGAAAGTTCAATTCACTGCCTATAAATGTTTGCTCTATTGATTTTTCTCTCAACCTTCTGCAGCCATTCACATCTCAATGTACTTTTTACAAGTATTTGTCACTTAATTACTGAAGAAACATTAACACTCAGCAGGAAAAGAGGAAACTATTGAGACAGAAAACAGTGGGAGATAAGAAATACAGGCTGTTGATCATTTTCACTAGCATTGCCAGAACACAGCTGCAATACAAAAGTAGCTATCAGAAAGTTAAAACTACTGTAGCCAGAAAGAATATTGGAAAAATCGAGAGCATCAGCTGCAGAAAAAGATTTCAGATAGATATGACAAGAAACTTAGCCTCTCCCAAGGAGCACTTTACCCCAAACTGCCCTCATATGTAAGGAAGAACAAATGCCTGAATGTTTCATTACATGTAACATGAAACAACAACATTATCTGTTGGTACAGACTTCATTTCTATTAGGGGTGTGTGTGAGTGGTTTTGCTGTCCGTAGACAGCTAGACTACTTCTGTGACAGAATCACTGGTTGATAAATACTCTGAAGACACAACTGTGGTCGACTTGCTTAAATGAGGTGGGAGAAATACAGCACTTACAATTGGTCCTAAGTGCAGAAGGCAAAAAGATTGCATTGTCAGTTTTTATATGCCTGTGCAGGCAGGCATTGCTTGCTACTTTATTCTAGCAATCCATCAGTGAAACAGCATCTACTGCTGGAAATTCTACTGCACAGCTTTACTTCTCTTCTGAAACATAGTGATATGAAGTTATGAGCACAGAACATTAAAAAAAAGCACAAAATACACCATCTCACTTTGTTGAGAAGTCTAAAACATACCTTGCACTCAAAAGAAAGAGCAAGCTGCATAGCAGGAGCCTGCTGAACTAGCCAGATGTGACCTGGGAGTTGAGTCACAAGACAGTGATAGAGAATATTTATCTCTGTGTGCCTGTTTTCTTTCATCACATGCTTTAGAGGAAGTCGGCTGTAAAACCAGGAGCTTCATTCCTGTAATAAGCTTTGGCTTTGTGTGAGGGTATAAGAGTATTAGCAGAACTATTTCCAAGTGCAAAGTAGAATTGCAATTATTATACAAAATGGTTTAACACTTTAAAGATCCATACATGCCTTCCAATTATGAAGTTAAGAATGTCATCAAACTCTGACCAGGAGCAGAAGGCAGATGTTCAGGAAGGAAGACCAACTTCTCATGTGAATATGTACTCTTAGCTGCATTCCACGAGTCCTTCTTATTCAGGAAACTCACCAACGCCCTGGATGTTTGGATCACAGAAGCTTTGAAGCTGGAATTCACAGGCCTCAGTTTAACCTTATACTGCTAATGCAGCCCAGATCAGTAGGCCATGACTCTAGTAAGAGTTGACACATTTGCAATATAAGAAGTAGATCTGTCAGCTCTTGTCCCAGCCTAGATTCTTGCTATATCCACAACCAAGAACAGAAACAGCGATCATAACTTCAACCTGACCTTGTAAAGCTAGGAACTTATTAACATCACAGAGCTTTTCTACAGACTTGAAAGTGAAATTGTGATTTACAAGAACTCCTTAACTTCTTCATATGGTTGAATATTTTGTTATTGAAAATTCAATCAATAGAATAACTTGCAGTATTGCTTTATTGAGATGAAATGCACAGCTTATGAGCTCCGCAGCTGAGGATAAAGGATGTTATTACACTAATCAAGAAGTTGCTGAGACACAATCAACTCTGAAAAAAAGCCAGTGCCATTCCTCTGCAGGCTTTAAGCTACCACTTTAAATACAAAAATGCTCTTTATTCACTTATTTTTATTACTTTATCAAATAGAAGTGAAAAAATATCGTAGAACAAGTTCAGCAGACTAGTGCAACTCACCTGGTTTATACATGAAAACAGACATCATACAGGATATAAATACACATGAAAAAAAAACATCCAAAAGATTTCATAACATATAATTATTGAGATCACTTCAACCTATCCAATTAGAAAAAATCCAGTTTCATTGATAAGTAATTAGTTGGTGAATAGAGTACTGATTGTAGTAAGTTTCAGCTCAAATTACAAATAAGCAAGAACTCCACAAATGAAATAAACAGCCATACTTGGCTATAATGATTTATCATATGCTCCGTCTCCCAAGGCAAAACCTCCCATTTTGTCCTTTTTGCATTTGCAATGAGCATCTTCAGCTTATCATGCATTGGACAGGCCATCTAGCAGGAAAGATAGGAGCTGAGATATAAGCCAGTTCACAGTAGACATTTTCACAGCACTACTAGCAGCCACAGTAAAAAGAAAATGGCAATGGGATCAAGGCATCTGCAGTCACCTTAATTTAAATTGCCTCAGTGTTCTAGAAGAAATATCCAAATTAGACAAAGAATCATAGAATCGTTTGAGTTGAAAGGGACTCTTAATGATCATCTGGTCCAACTCCTGGGCAACGAACAGGACACCTACAGTTACATCAGGTCACTCAGAGCCCCACCCAGCCTGGCCTTTAATGTCTCCAAGACAGGGCACCCAGCAAATCTCTGGGCCATGAACCATAATGTTTCATTCAGGCTATATTCAGGCTAGAAGTGCCCCAGATTCACATGGGTGCTTAGATAAACTCTAAAACATGGTGAAGCTCAAGTCTGAATGTCTTGGCTCCAGTAATCACACAGCACAGAGAAACACTAACATCGTTCTCTCTAGAAATATAATTTCACTCTTATCCACTAAGGAAAACCCTCATCCGACTAGGTGATTGCATTTAGAATAACATTCATCTGAATTTTAAAGACCTGTAGTAGTTTCAAAGAACAGCAACTTGTAAGTGTTAGCATGATTAGACATTATGCTTTCAGACTCTGGATTGCAAAAAACAAACCCATTAAATGAAATTAAGCCCAGAACAATAAACTGTTTACCATAATTCCTCATAAGCAACCGTAACATCATCTGTCTCAATGAGGATGAGTTTATTTTGTATTTTTCAAGAAGCTGTTGTGGTGAAAAGCAATAGTGGAGGATCACATTTCCACATGGGAAAGAGAGCAGTTATTTGCCTAGTCCTTCATATCTCTTCTCACAGCTGTTACTGCTAATTAAAAAGGGGTTAGTACAGTCCAATCACTCAGATGTAGTAACATCAAGGATTTCATCTCCGTTTTGTGCCACCAAATCCTGCAAAGGATAAAAAAAAAAAGTCTCAGCTCCACCACAGTCATCCCAATTGGCTCTCTGCAATTCCCTAAAGGGTAAAGCTTCTAAATAAGTCAAACTTGTGCAAAAATTACAAAAGGAAGCATTAGTTGTGGACTGACAGGCCAGAAAAATATTTTTTGCAGACAAACTTCTTTTTGTTGCTTTGTTTCATGTTTGTATGTTTACTAGAGAAGGGCATGCATCTAATGCATGTCCCAAAGGAGAAAGTCTTAAATTAACCATGCAGATAAAGACCGTCCTAATATAAGTGTTACTATGCTCACTGTAGGAATCCACACAATGCTGCTCTGCTTCTATGATAAAAAGATGTAGGAAATAGTTATGTGCCTATCTGTACTCAAGTCTTGACCAGAATAAAACCGAGAATGCTTGCTGAGCCTCACTTAACATCTGTGCATTTTGGGCAGATCAAAGTTTTTCAGGCTTTAGGAGGTTAAAAATTCTTGTGCCTTACCAGATGCAGTTCTTGTACTGCTGCCTTGTGTGGAATCGCTGGACTGTCTGTACACTGGAGGTACAGCTGTGGGATCTCCCCATGTATTGAAATACGAGGAGCGTGGCTGTGCTCTGATGAGTAAACAGGGTGGAAAGAAGAATTGATTGGTGATGTTTTGAATAATTAAGGTATAACCACAACAAACTTATTCAGAGAACTTAATCAGAGGGAGAATTGTAAGCAGGCATTTTTTCCAAACGTACAAACCTCCCCATTTAAAGGAATTAAACCCTGACAGCAGGGATAACATCTATAGCATTTTAAAAGGAAGTTGAACCTCATCCTTCAGGACACCGGAACAATTGCAAATGAATAATAAATCCTCCCTTTTGAAAATCTGACCTCAGTTTCTATCAGACAGGAAAGTTTACTTGAGATTTTAAGTTAAAATATATTTGGTATTACCTATATCCCTCCCACATAAGGGGAAAGAATACATACCTCTGCACTGTTAACTACCTTGAAAAGATAGGATCAGTAAGACCAATGCATCATGATCTTCAATTCACTGATTTGTTTCTACAGATAATGATTTCATAAGACTTGGGTGGGGGAGGGAAGAGGAGGGAGGAGCATGTAGAAGAGGAGGGAAAAAAAAACAAACAAGAAACAAGAACAGTGGACCAAGGACTGTTTTCAAAGAAAAGAAGCCCTAGTTAGAAAGCTTGTTCAGGTGTTTGGACTCAAACATTTTCAGGCCACTAATCTTAAATAAGAGGCCACTAAAACTAGGGGGTGAACATCAAGAGAACTGCATGTACAAAATACATACACAGTGCTTAAATATAAATATCACATATTAAAGTACTTAACTATCAAGTCAAGAAACCTTCAAATGTATCCTAAGTTTTCAAAAATCCTTAGTAAGGTTAGCACAGTAGAACAAAATCTGACGTTTCATCCATTACCCTTTAAAATGTTACTCAAAAAGAAATTATAGACTATTTCTGCTGTTGATGAGTCACTGTCCACATGCACGTTGCTTGACTTTTTAGACCAAGACTGCACAACGAACACTTTATACCTCAAACTTTTACTTCTTAATAAAAGGACAATCTGATAAGCCTCCTGTTGTTACTAGGAAAACACTTCACACAGAGAAGGAAAGATGCTTTACCACTCTTGCCCACCTTCCCTTATTTCCAATCATAAGAACTAAAAGCAATTATATTGGATTTGTTATATTATTAGCTTCCTAGAAGATTAGGCTTCACTTATGTGCAGTTCTTTGGCAATCACAGGAAAATGCTTGAGTTATAAAAAAATGCTGCAGAAACCATGTATTTTCTCTAGTGGAGGCTAATACAGCAGCAGGGTCAGCCTCTTTTCTGACGTAATTAGTGACAGAACTAGAGGGAATGGCTTCCAGCTGCGCCAGGGAAGATCTAGGCTGGATGTTAGGAAATACTACTTTTCTGAAAGACTGGGCTGGAATGGGCTGCCCAGGGAGGTGGTGGAGTCACTGACCCTGGAGGTGTTCAAGGAATGTTTGGATTTTGTGTTGAGGGACATGGTTTAGTGAGAACTATCAGCAGGTGGATGGTTGGACTGGATGATCTTGTAGGTCTTTTCCAATCTTGGTGTTTCTGTGATTCAATTCCCCCCTTTAAACTGTTTCAAGAGTGATGCATGTTTAATGCTTCAAAGCGTATGGCAGTGAGCAGTAGCTATTTACTTCAGCACTGAAATGGCTTTTGAATGTTGTTCATGTTGTTTTTCCAAAAAATTTACTTACACACGACTTATAAGTCCTCTGGAAAACTACGTTTTGGATTTCTATACATGGGCCATTAGGAGACTGGAGAGTAAAGGCTGTTCAGTTTGACTGCACTAATTATCACAGAAGAGCAAGTGTCAGCCATACTAACGTCAGGAGAGATGACACTGACACAAGAGAACTACTTACAAGTGGCTTTGTGCTTCATATTTTTATCTGCATTTTAAAGCAGTCTGGATACGGATTGTTCAAGCGTTCATTTTAAATTTGCAAGCCACCAAGTCAGGTCAGAGAATGCACTTAAAGCAGAATGAAGAATCTCAAGAACTCAAATCTTTCTCCTCAAGAAAGGTGTTCAGAATGTCTTTGCTACTAGAGCTACAGATCGTACCTCAAAGCTGTTCTAGCAGTAGGATTATAGAGCCTGAATGATACATGTCTGAAAACTCACAAACAACATAAATGTACACAATATGCCAGCTGAAATCTTGTATATTTAAAATTTGACAGCATTCTATTTTACCTCTGACTGCCAGCCAAGTAGCCTAGCAAGCCTCCTGCTCCTAATCCAGTCCAAAATCCTGGTCCTGAATTGGTTTCATGACTGGAACGAGTCCCAAAGCCATTGTCTTCTTAAGCCAAATGGAAAAAAAGAAAAAATATCAGTTAATAACACTTACTCCTCAGGCTGTCTGTTGCAATAAGACTCTCACCTCTTAAACATAATAGCAAATTAGACACTAAGCTCTTCCTGATTTCAACTGATTCTTGATTAAGCTTGTCTTGAAAGGCACCCTCAAAGTTTGGAAAGCAGGAGGAAAAAAAAAAACAACAAACAGAAGCAAGCTAACAAAGGTAAAGATTTTTACATCAGAAATTAGCTTTCACTATATCAGTCTCCGTGTTTACAAAACACAGTGAAGTCAGAGCGTGCAGACTTTATAAACAGATGAGTTAAATTAAAATCGGAAAGAAAGTGAAGACGGACTAATTTACTCAAGCAGGCAGACAGGGGAACAGAAATCAAGTATCAAAAAGCATCACAGAAGAATAATCCTGACTTACATTATCAGTTGAAATCAGACTTCTGCGGGTGTCTTGATGTTGGATTTCATTTTGAATGTACTGAGACGATTATAAGCTCACCTTGGATAATACACCCATTAAACTATGCTATGTTAATCAGGGAGATAAACCAACTAATTTACTCAAAAGCAGCATGGCTGAACACTGATTCAGAAGAAAATCTTTTCTGTTGAAAAAACCTAGGGTAAACCACTAATACAAGAAAGTAATTAATACAGTCTAGCTAAATGAGTTTCACAAGAAACATTCTGTATGCCAAGGGAATTTGAAATGAAGCAAATTAAATATTCAGATCAATAAGTGAACCACTTTGCTTTTCATTATCATCCCAATTTTCAAAAGCAGATGTGTGCCTGATACGGTCCTATTACTCTAAGGCATGCTTTTGCTCCATTGTTAGAACTAAAGGCAGACAATTAATCCTCGCATAGCTCCCAACCAAGATTCTCAATTTTCAAAAATCAATCAAGAAAAGGTATTTTCAAGGCTCTATTCTTGCTACATTTCAGATTCCTGTCCACTTAAACATGTGTTGAAGTAATTCACAAGGAATGGGGTAGGGAAAAAAGAAAGCAGTCCTTCATTTTAAAACTAAAGCCACATGCACACTGAATGTTTACTTTGGTTTGCCTATGTCCACTACAGCAGAACTCTGTAAAGACCACAATACCACCAGAGGCAAGTGGCATGCATACACAAGGTTACTCACTGGTGCACACACAGAATAGAAAGGCTGTCTGAAATAACTATTTTGAAATCAATCTGCAAACTCACTAGTTAATACAGAATCATAATCCAACCCCAATTTTCTGCTCCAGGTATGTAAGAGAAAGTGCTGCAAATGCACCACACAAGTTTATCAAGAAGAGCTATACTGGCACCCCCTATCGGCAAGTGGCATGAGCCAGTCTGCACAAAAGCGTTAACATACATTTGTTAACATTATTCAAACATAAGCTTTTGACTAAGTAAACTTAATTCTTGCTATCTACTGCTTGGTAGGACCGCTCCTCTAGTTCACAATAAAAATAAAAATAAAAAAAAAACAGGAAAAAAAATTGAGATCATGCGTCTTGTTACAAGGTAATTTGAGTTCTAGTGTCATGAGGATTACACATTTGCAAGGTTAAATGGTCAGGCACCAGATGACTAAATTCTACTTGCCTTTGGCACCATAACTACCGATCACAATGACCAGTTTTCTGGGAAAAGAAAAAAGTTTGCATGTTTTCCTAGCAGTCTTGCCACTACTTCTACAATTTCCAATTCCAGGTGAGAGACACCACACAAGATGCACGCCCTGCATAGACTGTTTTCTGCTCTGGGAACTAAATTTTTTGACCACTGAGACTATAGCAAACCACGTGTTAAACCAAGGATTGCTATATGATATTCATTTCTAGCAAATTAGTTATGAAGAAGCCAACAGTCAGGTGAGATAACACAACAGCTGAAAGCACATCCTGAAGTTAAGATAATGTTTGTTTCGGAGCACTAAATAATGGCTTATAGTCCTACCTGTGGAGCTGAACTTAAAACCAGGAGGAGGAGGCGTCTGATTACTCTGCCAGAAAGGACGAGTGTATCCATCACCACCACCAAAACTCTGCTGGGGTTGTTGGTTACTAAGGAAAAACTTGTATACGCCAAAGGCAAGAATCAGTAGAACAATTACAAAAATTGTTCCAGCACCAGAATGAGAAGAATCCTTTGTTGATGTATAATAGCCAGAACCAAAGCCTCCAGAGTTCTTCGCTTTCCGTTCACCTTCCTTTGTCAGTTCTAACCTGAACAGCAAACTGCAGGACCCCCTTAAGATGTAAGGATCATCTGGATAATTATAGCCTTCACAGCTCACTTCAATTTGTCCAAAACGAAGAGTGTTTTCCAATTCCGCTTTGCACTGCCACTGAAAAGTAAACACAAAAGCAAGTAGCAGCTATTTCTCCAGCGATGAAAATATCTGCCTGCATTCCCAAATGTATGCAGACAAAACTGTAATCTACAAGAAGTCATATAAAAAGCAATAGAATAAGGAACTTCTGAGCTCTCCTATTCTGAAAAGGGCTTGGAATCTGAGAGTAGCTAGGAATGTTTTTAAAATTCCTAGAAGATAAAGTGATCTAATTGTTTAGAACACAAGAGTTACAAGTCAATTTCTTCACTGGACAAGTTTTTCAAGTATTCCTTCTTTAGGTACAGCAGCACTTCTGAAAATAATCCATCCAGTCTACAACAGTTACTTAAGAAATGTCTCACCCATGCAGACTTGATGACAGCTACAAAAATAGCCCTTGGAAGCCTAAAAACCAGTGCATGTGATTAGATTCATGTTCAGGCCAATATAAAAATACATCATGTTAGACATCACTAGGGATTCAAAGGCGACAGTTAGCAATAGATTGTGATTTTGCAGGTGAATATATATGAATTTCTCAGTTTCAGATTTCCTTGAGTCATCTGAACTTGGTACGAACAGTACCTGTAACAAACATACACTTTGAAAAACGCAGCTTCCAAATTAACAATTCAGTATAGCAGCACCCACTGCAAATTCCAACTGGGCTGTACTTTTACGATACTATATCAATTACAACAATAAACTTCAGTTTTGATTCCTGGTCAGTCTGATGGCAGAAGGGTAGGTAGCATCAAATACAACAACTCTTTATTGAAATACCAGAGTAAACTATTAACACACAAGAGCAAGCCATAGAATCATTTGAGTTGGAAGGGACTCTTAAAGGTCATCTGGTCCAACTCTCCCACAAGGAACAGAGACACCTACATCAGGTTGCTCAGAGCCTCATCCAGGCTGAACTTGAATGTCTCCAGGGACAGAGACATCTATAGGCAAACTGATGCAATGCCTCATCATCCTGGAATCTAATTAACTCGGAAGTCATAAAAGGTTCAATTTTTTTTTTAAGAGGGCATAAGTGACATAAATAAATTCTTGTAATCCTTTATGTTCTACAAATTGTGAATACATTGGTCAATACCGAAGCAAAGGGCATTTTCAAGGATTTGCCTAAGCTTGGTTGTATATATTCAAGCAACATTTCAACTAACACCAATGAAAGTTTGACTGGTAATGCTTTTACATTAAAACCTTCATGGATAATCCTTAAAAAAAAAAAAAAAAAGTGATATATATACATATATATATATACACAAACACACACAAATAATGTTTTCAGTATCTAGGGTAACCTTTAGCTGTTCTCTAGTAAAAAGAAAAGCAACACTCTGGCTGGTTGCTTTCTCTTTCTCTTCCACAAGTTATTAGTTCTGTATGAGGAGGGTGCCGTATCAGTTTAACTGACTTTAACCACTGTTACCTGCACATCATAGCCATCCCAGCCTCTGTTGTAGCACTGAACGACCTCAGGGATATCAGAGCACCCAGCACTGCCTCCAGTGCACTGAAGCTGAGGGACCGCAGCCGTTCGCCGGGCCGTGGTATAGCGGTCCCGGTGCAGAGTGAGCACCTGCACGTCCCGCAGCAGAACCCCTGCAATAGGCAGCAGAGATCAGCACGGCCATACCCCACCATCCTACGCCTAGAAGCGGAGGAAAATCGCACGGAGCTCTCAACGGCTCCCAGCGCGTTCCGTCCCACCCGACGCCACGGCCGAGTTAGCAGCCGACCTGTCTGAAGAGCCCCTCAACGAAAGGCCTTCCCACAGCTCCACGCCTCGGACCCCCGCCCCGCTGTTACAGCGACAGCCTAACGGAAAGAGGCGGCCGCAGGCCCACAGGCACGCTCCAGGTCCAACAGCTCTCACCTTGTTGGTCCCAGCCCCACGCGGTGCTGGTAGCAGCGCAGAGAAGCAGGAAAAACGCAGCAGCTGCCCCGTCAGCCGCCATGACAGCTCCGAGGCACACCGACACGACTCAAAGCTCTTCCCGGCGCAGGACGCTGTTCATTGGCCGGCCGCGCCAGAAGGGGCGCGAAGGTGGGGCGGAGCGCAGCCCATGGGAAGGGGAGGACAGCGGAAGTGATTGCCCTCCTCTTCCGGGGGTGAGGCTGGTGACGTAGTTCCGTTTCCCGGCAGCGGGACGCGCAGCGCCATGGCCGGCATCAAAGGTGTGTGGGGCGGGAGCGGCTGTAGCCTACAGGCGTCTGGGGGGGCAGAGTGAGACCCGGCCCGTGCGCGGTGCTGGCGGCTAAAGCGGCAGGGCCGGCCCGTCTCCGGGGCTCCTCTCCGGTCGTTTGCAGGCTGCAGCTGATCGCAGTGCTCACCTGTTGTGCGTTTGTGTTTCCGCAGCTCTGATCAGCCTGTCCTTCGGGGGAGCGGTGGGACTGATGTTCCTGATGCTGGGCTGCGCCCTTCCTCAGTACAAGTAACGTGTCTGCTTTTTGCAGCTTCGTGTTCTTTGACACGTCTGGTTGCAGAGTGGTTTGGCTCATAATTATGAATGAGTGATTCATCTTGTGTGTGCGAGAGGCTTGTTTCTATGCTGGGTGAAGCGACATCTCACACAGCTGCAGCTGCTGTCTGTCTGCTTTTAATATTGATTCCTCTCTCTGCTTCCTAGAGGCAGGAAGCAATAGATGAAGAGCATGAAAAGTCAGCTCTATGGTTTTGATTCTGCAACTTAAATCAATATGAGATAAATATCAAATTTGCTAGTTGTCATTTACAATTTTCCAAATACATGACTAGCTTTCTTATGTCAGCTCTCTTCTGTTATAAAATCTGGGCTGGTGGCACAAACTCTTAGCAATGAGATCATTACAGTGTCATACCTAAAATAACATGATTTAAGTTTCGCTCAAACCATGCATAGCTACGTTGACATGCCTGGTGAGCTGTGGGCAATAAAAAATATGTTGGTTGAAAAGATGAAGCAAAAAAATACATATCCAATGGTTTGGAGCTCTGTGGCTTCTGTGTATTGGCAGAAAACAATACTCTGATCCCATGCATGTACTCGAAGTTCACATGCAAAAATAAGCTGAAGACTTTGCAAAGGTCTCTCTGCAGTTCAGAAGTAAAGCTGACACGTTAAACTTAGCTCTTAAGATTATCATGCAAGGTAGCATTAGATTTAGGCTTGCTTAGTGAAACCTTGCTTCATGAACATCCTCTGAATGAGGTCTCTGTTGCTACTGTTGAGGTCAGCTGGAGCATAGCATGTTGGATTAATGTAATTTTATTCCAAATTGAAGGGATTGCTTTGCCTGGGCTTGTGCCTATCTTTCCCAAATGTGGGAACTGGATGGGAAAAATACCTCACATTGATTTTTGGGAAGAGCAGAAAATAAGTGAAGTTAATATTAACTTTCCTTCTTTCTTTTTCAGCCAATACTGGCCACTGTTTGTTCTGTTCTTTTACATCCTTTCTCCTATCCCATACTGCATAGCAAGAAGATTAGTAGATGACACAGATGCTACGAGTAACGCCTGCAAGGAGCTGGCTGTATTTCTTACAACAGGCATTGTTGTCTCGGCATTTGGACTGCCTATAGTGTTTGCCAGAGCAGAACTGGTTAGTAGTGTTTCAATCTCTGAAAATATTCTTTGCTAGAAAACTTTTTTTTTTTTAAATTAATTGAAGGTTGAACTTTCATGCACTGTGCAACTTCTGTAAATACATACTTAAGATGCCTGTGGTGGAAACAGGAGTTCCTTCAGAAAAAAAGAAAGCAACTTAGAAATAAAAGTATGGCAAAAAAGACATAGTTGCCAGTTGCTTTATGTGGTTGTGGAATAAAGTCAAACATCTGATGTGCAATGCAGAAAAAAATGAGCATGAAAACTTAGTAGGCCAGTAGCCAAATACAAAAGTTCACAGAATACCATGAAGGCAATTTGTAGAATAGTTGAGTTAAAGAGGACCGAGTATAACAGTGCAGTTTAGCAATCACTTTGAAGGACATGTGATCTTATTTTTTTAATCTTCTGATTTGTCATTATGTCTTTCCCAGTGCATGATTTTCCACTAACATCCTTTAAAAGATGACTTTGACTAGGATTTCAGAGAATACTAAATAAAAAACTATGGAATGTACATCTCAATCAAGAACAGCCCTGCCAGTCAGTTTGAATGCCTCACACCCTTTGGCTACTCTCCTTGGAAAACATTCACCTGTGTTTTTTGTTATTGTTACTTGTACATCTGCTGATATTTTGCAGGCCTTCATCCTTCGCTGTCTTTAAAAACAAACCAACCAAAAACCCAACCAAAAACAAAAAAACCCAACAAACTCCTGTGACTAGCAAGTATGGCTGTGGCTGGGCTCTGCAATAATTTGATGCTGTTGCCTAGCCTCACATTACTGTTTCTGGATGTAAAACAAAATGTCCTTGCCTGCTAGCTGGCACTTTGAAGGAGGCTAGAAGAAAGTGTAGTGCTGCTTGACTGACTATGATTTGGCTTACCTTAAAGGGTTTGACCAAACCCAGCCTTCTTGACATAATGAGGTACTTCTTGTCTTTCATTGTGGATCTGTTGCTGAATTTTTTTGTCTATAACATGACATGAAAATGTTACATTTTGTCTTGTCAGTGTTTTGTTCAGGGTATATCTAACTAAATTCCACTTGTTCACAGATTTACTGGGGCGCATGTGCACTTGTTCTTACGGGAAATACAGTCATCTTCGCTACAATCCTAGGATTTTTCTTGGTCTTTGGCAGCAATGATGACTTCAGCTGGCAGCAGTGGTGAAAGGAAGATGCGAACTATCATAGACATCTTGTCATTCAGTGGCCATCCATACAAATGAGAGAATGGGCAATAAAGAGAAGTAGTGTAGCAAGCCTCTCCAGTATTTTAGACACTCCTTTTTCACCTTGTTTGTTCTGAGTGTACTACTGTTTGGCTGATGGGTTTCTAAGTTTTTATCAAGTAAAGAGATAGCTGATTTCATTTTTACCTTTAGTATCTTTTAGGTGGTCTCTTAGTTTGTCATTCTTGTTCTGTTCAGTGTTTATGTGAAGCTTTAAAGCTGAAACAAGAATGTTAAACTTGCTTTGAAACCATGTTTTAAAGTTTTATTTTAGCATTAATACCGTGCTTCATTTTTTCTAATGTGGTGATTAAATTATATACAAACTGAACTAAGGTAAGCAATTGTACACCACCACTGTCAGTTACAGATACACAGCTTGTTATAATTTTAGAAGAGGCAAGGGTGGGTGTGTACCAGTTACAGACTTTTTCTTCTGCCCGTACCTCAAACTGGGTGATGAATGTTGATAGCCTTCATTTAAAGAAAAGGCTGAGAAGCAGGTGGAGTTATTTGGGAAAAGTCCTCAATTTAAGCACCGCTAGCACTTTACCTGCTTCGTTATTGGTTTTTGTGTGGATGTGACATTCAAATACTCTGTAAATGTGGTAATATTATGACATGCAAAACCAAATTGCGTTGTAGGGGGAGGGGAAAATGATACATAAATTCCATTTTTTTTAAAACAAATATCTTTTGAATTCTATTTATAATTGTTGTATTGTTTTGAACTTTTATGTTAACTTTTTACCATGAAGAGGGTAAAATGTTCATTTATGGAACTACTGCTACGTTTTAATTTGAAGCATATACAAAACTTTTCTCCTTCCTCTTTTTAATTTATTTTATACATACCATGAATGGAATAAAACTTTTCAAATGTAAATTAAAACTTTGTTAAACTTGTTTAAGAATTTTTTTCCTTCCCCCCCTGTACACAGACTTTTTTTTTCCCCTTCACACAATGCAGTTGATGCATGACTTTTGGAAGTCACTGGCTGAACTGACTTTACTGACTGTTCATAAGTTCTTATGCGCTTTGAGTTAATAAGATTTAATGTTATGTCTGTAATTGTAGACTCGCGTTCTGTAAGATTACACATGTATCTTCAAGTACTTAAGACATTTCTAGCATACCTCTCAACTGTCTGGATTTTTCATTAAAGAAGCTTGCCATTAGACATTTCATCTTGAGGTAGTGAATGAGTGCTAGTTAACCAAGTTCAGCTGTACCACAAACACTGATAAACTTGACCAAACCTACTGCTAAACTATATTTTAAAGTTTTAAGAAATTTACTGTGCATAAAAGCTGCTGATTGCTTAGATGTTACATAACAGTGGAGCAGAATGAAAAGGCACAGGATAGCAGGCCTTAGCTGTAATGTTTGTACGCTGACATAAATACAAAGCTTGAATATCTGAATACAAATAGTAATTATGGCAACATATTTGATAGGACCCTAAAACTTTTTACCAGCAACTAGGGACAGCACTGCTACTTTGTTAAAGTCATCCTGTCTATGAAATCAGAGCTCAATTTTATCCATACCAGCAGAGAAATAAATAGGTGTCAAGTGCAGAAGCCAGTCAGCAGCAGGAAATATTTCAGCCATGACTTGTGTGCTTCACCAAACTGGCTGTGATGGTGACATCCAAAGATGATGAAGGGCTGTAAAAATCATTCATTTCCTGACATTTTGATGACACTTTCGCATCTCTGACCCCCCACCCAAGCAATAGATTCTTCAAAAGAATGTTCCAAATTAATGGCTAAGTTGGCAGTCTTTGCTCTTCCAAAGGAGGAACACTTCAGATTGGCACAAATCTGAGTTTACTGTCTCCTGGTTTGTGGTTAGGAACTGTGTGATTGATCCCACTAGCCTGCTTCTCAAAGGCAACAGTACCCTGAATTTCCAGGCTGTAGAACCATCTGTGTCCTTTTTGGACATGTATTTTTTTTAGGGGGGGTATGCTGCAGCATGACATTCTTTCATTTGCACACCAACTTCACGCAGCCCAGCTCTGCTTTACGAGCCAACAGTTGAGAGGTGTGATCTCCCCTTATAGCAGGCACTGAGACAGCACTGCCATCCCAAACAGCACCAATTCTAAGTGGCAGTCCGAGTTCTATACATCTAATCCAGAAATACTCTGACAATAAAAGAGCGTTTTGTTTCAAGTACTGATGGTGCACTTTCTTTCTTTAACACGGTAGTCACTCCCGCTGAAGAAACAGCAGCAGGTGACTCAGTCCTCAAGCGAGTTTGTTTCATTTGCCTTCACGTACCGGTGCTGCCTTTCCTTGAAGAGACGGGGCCACTTCACACGTGCAGACTATCAAACCCCCGTTCATGAGCTCCTCCTGAAGAGCTGGAAGAAGAATGAGGTCTCCTCGAGCCCAGCTCCCTCAGCCCGCCTTCAGAGGAGAGGTGCTCCAGCGCCGAGCATCTTCGTAGCCCTCCTCTGCTGTGACATACATTCATTCCCGTACAGCTGCTCCTGCCGGCCGCCGCTAGGGGAAGGGGAACGCTCTGAGAAACGGAGGGAGGAGCGCGGGCAGCCCTTGCCCACGCTCGGGACGTGGCGGTGCGGCCTTTCCGCTTCCGGGGCTGCTCCCGCAGCTCTCCTCCCGGCTCCGAGATGGCGGCGGCGGCTGCGGGCGGCCCCGGGGCGGCAGCGGCGCTGTGGAGCGAGGTGAACCGCTGCGGCCAGAACGGCGACTTCGCCCGCGCGCTCAAGTCCGTCAACAAGAGTGAGTGAGCCCGCCTGCCCGCCCCGCCGCCGCGTGCTCGCTCTGCGTTGGGGCGGGGGGCTCGGGGAGCGGGGCTGCCCTGGGGAGCCTGGAGGGAACCGAGCCGCCCTCCTCAGCCAGGAGCGGCGTGTCGTGTCGGCCTTGCTGGGTTTTGATCGTGCTCCCCCCGCCCCCCGGAATTGAAGCGCCCTGCACGGACGCGGAAAAGGTTTCTCGTGTCATCACCCGGCGCTGCCGAGCACACCGCTGCACCGCGTCTACACGTACCTCACCTGAGCCAACGCATCGCAAGCTTTCGGTGAAGATGCGTGCCCTAATAGCAGCATAACCTAATAGCAAACCTGAACCTCCCCTGCCACAACTTGAGGCCATTTCCTCTCATCCTGTCGCTGTTACCTGGGGGCAGAGGCCGACCCCCACCTCACCACAGCCTCCTGTCAGGCAGTTGCAGAGCCATAAGGTCTCCCCCGAGCTCCTCTTCTCCAGACTGAACAACCTCAGCTCCCTCGGCCACTCCTGTAAGCCTTGTGCCCCAGACCCTTTCTTCCTGACTGTGCCCTACGTGGCACTGAGACAGGTTTTGGCACTGTTCTCTGTCTGGAAGTGAAATGCCAATGAAAGGTTTGTTCAGGTGTGTACAGCTCCTTCAGTGCAGCTCTGTTCCAGGCAGGTTACCATAGCAGTCCGTTCTGTTAAGTTCAGTGCTCGTATTGAGCTCTTTCACACTGGCAGGGTTTTCTCGTGAGCAAACCACGCCAGAACCCTTTTAAAATGATGCAACTGTTAGATGTTTTTCTCCAGCTTAAACAGTGTATGGCACTTTAAAAACCTTTAGTCTGTCTGCTAGTTAGATCCTTCTGTTAAAACTGTTATCCCCTCCAGTTCTGCAGATCAGCAAAGACGACGTGACTGCACTTCAGTGTAAAGTGGTATGTCTTATCCAGAATGGGAGCTTCAAGGAAGCCCTCAGTGTAATTAACACTCACACTAAAGTGTTGTCCAGGTGAGTTGTGTCTTAATGTAACATCTACAAAATATTAAATTGTGAGTCCCTGATAAGTCCTGCAGCTTCACTTCAGGTGGAGGAAACTAATCAGTGATAAAAAAAAAATAATCAAGAGCAGGAGGTGCTCAGAGCCATTGCAGTTGGGGTTCTTAGTAAAACACTGATTTACTCTGAGTGTGAGAGATAACCTACATTAATCTGAGGTGGTTTACTGGCTTGGTTTTTTTCAGTAGCAGAGATTGTCCTCTATCTAGTTCAAGGTAGTATCTCTCTCCATTAGGAAATTTTGCTTTTTGATGTGGGTGAGCACCATAGTTGGTGGAAGGGAAGGAGATAGTTTTTGTGGGAGCAAAGAGAAGAGGGAGAAGCCCTTAGTAGCAGCAAGCTGTTAGCTTTGCATGGTATTTTCATCTGTAATGATAGAATATACCACAGTAGTCAAGGTGGCAAAGCCTTTGGCTACTGCAAATGAGAACAAGCCCAAACACAGCAACTACAGACATAGAAATGGAAGAAAAGAGCCACGTACCTTTGGAAGGCCTCAGGTAGGTAGGAACCTCCAGTGAGAGATACCCTTACCTCCACTGCCAACCCTTAAATGAGATCTGGGAAGGGGTGGATCCTGGCTCTACCTCTTCCAGTCACTCAGGTGGATTGCATGCACCTGAGCTCCCCTTGGTTGGCCCTGCCTTCTCACCAGGTGCTGAATCACTGGTTCAGGTTGTGACTTAGCATTTCTGCTACGTCATCATACTTCTCTTTGGGGTCATTTTCTTTGCCATACTGATGGTATTACTTTTACTGTCAGGAGAGTGCAAGCCCTTTGTACATGTTCTCAAAATCAAGACCTTGAAGACAATTGTGTTTTAGTACAAGTCAAGTTTCTGTATCTCCTTCTGTGTCATTAAGCAGATTTAATTATCTTCCTAATAAAGATGCTCATTGTGCAATGACTGAGATAAGAATTGCTGCCCAAAAACTGTGTGGCAGCAACAGTTTTCTGTTTCAGATACTGTTTTTGTTAAGGAGCTTCCCAGAAAAAATGCACTGTAGTATTGAAGTAGTGAAGTGCTTCCATATTCATATTCACATCTGAATATTGTCATCTTATTCACAAATCACTTCTTTCCTGGGATGAAAGAAATCTAAGTTTGTAGGTTGTTTTTTGATATATGATGGAGAGGAGAAGTAATTTTCCTAAATTTAACAGGCTTCAAATTCTCCCTCTTAAGAATCACAGAATCATAGAATGGCTTGGGTTGGAAGGGACTTCAAGGATTATGAAGCTCTAACTCCCCTGCCACATGCAGGGTCACCAACCTCCATATCTCATATTAGACCAGGATGCCCAAGGCCCCATCTATCCAACCTGGCCTTGAACACCTCCAGGGACGGGGCATCCACAACCTCTCTGGGCAGCCTGTTCCATTCCAGCACCTTAACACTCATACTAAGGAACTTCCCCCTGATATCCAACTTGAATCTTCCCTCCCTCAACTTAAAACCATTTCCCCTTATCCTGCTATCATCTACCCTTGTAAAGAGTTGACTTCCCTCCTGTTTATAGGCTCCCTTTAGGTACTGGAAGGCTGCAATGAGGTCATCCCACAGCCTTCTCTTCTCTAGGCTGAACAAGCCCAGCTCCCTCAGCCTGTCTTTGTAGGGGAGGTGGTCCAGCTCTCTGCTCATCTTTGAGGCCCTCCTCTGGACCCTCTGTAACAGTTCCCTGTCTTTCTTATGAGACCTGGGCACGGTACTCCAGATGGGGCCTCACAAGAGCAGAGTAGAGAGGGACAGTCACCTCCCTGTCCCTGCTGGCCACCCCTCTTTTGATGGAGCCCAGGATACCATTTGCTTTCTGAGCTGCAAGAGCGCGCAGATGACTCATGTTAAGTTTTTCTTCCACCAGGACACCCAGGTCCTTATCTGCAGGGCTACTCTCAAGGACTGCTCCTCCCAGTCTGTAGTTTGCCTGGGATTCCTCTGGTTCAAGTGCAAAACCTTGCACTTCGCTGAGTTGAACGTCATTAGATTCACCCAGGCCCACCTTTTGAGTCTGTAGAGGTCCCTGTGAATGGCATCCCTTCCTTCCACCGTGTCAACTGCACCACTCAGCTTGGTGTCATCAGCAGACTTGCTTAGGGTGCACTCAATTCTGTCATCGATGTCATTGATAAAGACGTTAAAGAGCACCGGTTCCCAAGACAGACCTCTGTCTGGGGGGACACCACTCATTACCAGCCTCCACCTGGACACAGAACCATTGATCATTATCCTTTGTCTGCGGCCTTTCAACCAATTCCTAATCCGCTGGGTAGTCCATCCATCAAATCCACATCTCTCCAATTTGGAGATAAGGATGTGGTGCAGGACCATGTCAAAGCCTTGTGCACATGTCCAGGTAAATGACATCGGTCGCCTTCCTTTTATCCACCAGTGCTGTCACCCCATTATAGAAGGCCACCGAATTGGTTAAGCATGACCTTCCCCTGGTGAAGCTGTGCTGGCTGTCTCGGATCACACACTCATTCCTCATGTGATCTAGCATGTCATTCAGGAGGATCTGTTCCATGATCTTCCCAGGCACAGAGGTGACACTCACTGGCCTGTAGTTCCCCAGGCCCTCCTTGCTCCCTTTCTTAGAAATGTGAGAGTGACGTGACCCTTTTTCCAGTCACTGGGGACCTCACCTGACAACCAGACTTCTTAAATGTGATGGAGAGTGGCTCAGCAACCACCTCAGCCGGCTCCTTCAGAACTCTGGGATGCATGTTATCTGGCCCCATAAACATGTATACAAGTTTCTCGCTTGCCAGTACCACCTGTCTCTGTGTCCTACAGGAAAGGTGGTGGTTCTTTTGCTGTTTTGAGGTTGTTTATGATTTTTACAGTACTCAACAGATAAATAATTCAGTAACCTATGATCATGTGCTCACCTCTGGTGTTTGGCTTTTTGGGAATCTAGTGGTCTGTGACTGATAAGGGCTGCTTAAACAATTGTGTTCACGTGGGTGAAAGCTGATGCATGAATACTCCAGCCTGCTATTAACCTTTGTCTTGTCTTTGCAGTGATGTTATTGCCTTTGAGAAGGCCTACTGTGAATACAGGTTGAATCGCATTGAAAATGCTCTCAAGACCATTCAGAGTGCCAGTCAGCAAACAGACAAACTGAAGGAGCTTTATGGACAAGTGGTAATAACAAACTTTTCTTCCTGGTGGCAGTTTTATATGCTGAATGCCTTGTCCCCCTGCACTCATTTGGGACAAGTCTTCTCTTGGTTGCCTGAGAGACTATTAATTTAACTTTTCTCATTAATCTGGAAGAAAGCTGTCTAAGAATAAAACCACTTAAATTGCTGCTTCTAAAGAAGCTATTTTAGGAGTAAGAATTCTGGAGTCCCTGTGTAGGTATCCGTTCTCATTGCTTGAGTCCTAGAAAATCTCATCTATAGAATCTGCCCTTACAGGTAGATGCAAACATTAGTAATGTTCAACCTGAAACATATGATGCTCTGCTGCAGCCAGTCTGCGAGGAGGGAGAAAGAAGGCAGGGAAATGCTATTCTGATGGCTAATCCCTTGCTGTTGTCAGTTGTACAGGTTGGAGCGTTACGATGACTGTCTGGCTGCATACCGGGATCTCATCCGCAACTCCCAGGACGAATATGAGGAAGAACGAAAAACCAACCTCTCTGCTGTTGTGGCAGCACAAAGCACATGGGAGAGAGTAATGCCAGTAAGTGAGTTGCTCACTTGTTGATTGCCTCTTACTTTGTTGCGCAGTGCAAAGGAAAATACTATGCACTGTGACTTAAAATTTGCCAGTTGCACGTCCTTGTAAAATTAGAAATTCTGTAAAATACAGAAAATGAATTCTGTAGAATTCTGTAAAATACAGAAAACATAGTTTTTCTGTAGCATATTTATTTTGCAAGGAATAGTTTGAGTGTATCTGAAAGTATAGCTTGTGTCTGTAGCCAGTATAGATCAGTTGGTGGTTACGTTTGCTTTTCATGCTAGGAAAACTTGGGCCTTCGAGAAGCTACCTACGAGCTGTGTTATAACAATGCATGTGCATTGATTGGACAAGGAAAGCTGAATGAAGCAATGAAGAAATTACAGAAAGCAGAAGGTAAAATCATGATGGGGTGTTAAAAGCTTTGTGCTTTTTCTAGGCATGCTTAAAAACAGAGAGAAGGAAGTTTTATCTCTTGATTAACGTCAGAATTTTTTATAGGTGTCCAGATGGTTCTTGGCAGATCTGGTGTTTATGTAGAAGCATTCCTCTGCTGCTTTTTTCCAGAGCCACATTACATGTGGCATCTTCTGGCTCTCTTTCAGACCCCTGATGGAGGTTGAATTCTTTTAAGCGGTTTTTCTGAAGTGGGAAGTAGATTTAAGTATCATCTCTTCTCATACCTCATTCTTAACTCTTGGTTTTATGAGTGCATATATACATATTTGTGTGTATATTTATATATGACATGCATGGTCTGAATTAGCCATGATACCAGTGTAATACAAATGAGGTTTCCTTTTTCTGTGAAGAGCATTTTTTTTCAGTAGGGTGAAAGGGAGATTGTGGGGTGTGGGATTTTTATGTTGTTTATTTTCCTTTTTTAAAAAGGAAAGCTGCGACAGAAAATGAGTTTTTCTGATCTATTTGCTCTTACAGATAAATAGGTCAGTTCTGCCCTGATTTTGCTGATAGATTAGCAACTCTCCCATACAACTATTCTATTGCACAAGTGCAGCTCTTGACATTAGTGAATCTATATGTATGCTTTTATAATATTCCTTTGGGGAGCAAAACAAGTAACGTTCTGATGAGGTACTTGAGAAAATTAAGTGAAAGTTAAGTGGTCTGTACTGAAAACTGATAGAATTGCTTCCCTGTAAAGGGTGGGCTTAAAGCACCTTAATTGACTTTGGTAGTAGTTAATACTAAGAGCTGTGTGAGCCTGTGTGATGGAATAGATCAGCAGCTAGGTTCAAAGAAATTTGTTCAGGAAAGAGAATGAGTGTGTGACTCTGCTCTCAGTAGGCAGCTTTGGGAGAGATGGTATCTCCTCTGTTTTTGACGTTTCTTCAGAATAATCTTGTCTTCTCCTTCATGGTCACTGCCATCATCCTGTAGAGTCAATTGCCTTTCATAATGCTACAGAATTTTGGATTCAGCATCTGCAAGGGATACACCGAAACAGTTTATGCTTCTAGGCCTTTTTTTTTTCCCTTAAGCCTTCTAAATTTCATTCTTCCCTTTGTTTTTCTTCTAGAACTGTGTCGCCAGTCACTCTCAGAAGACTCTGTAAGTTTTTGATGTTGTTATGGAAAGTTTGCTTTGCACCAACACGAATGAGGCTGAGGTCATGCTGTAAACAGCCAGATGACAGCCAAAGCCGATGTACAGTATTACTCAGCAAGACTTGCCACTGCTGCTGGTACCAACTTGCGAGGCTGGGGCAGCAATTGTAGCTGTTGCAGAAGTGCAACACAGCAGGCTGTTTGCTGCTGTGTTCCTTGTGTTGTTGCCCGTACTGGTACAGGCAGTATGGGTACA